CTCCGGTTCTTGGGACTTGAGCTGTCAGCTTATCTGCCGAAGTTGGGATTCATTGACCTTCACAGCCTGTGAGCAGGAGCCTGCTCTCTGACCTGCCAATCTTGGGTTCACCAGCCCCTGCAGCTACATGAAACAGGAGAAACCTTGCGGTCTTGCCTCCCTATCTTGGAATTTGTCAACCTTCACAGCCTGTGAGCAAGAGCCCTGCTCTCTGACCTGCTGATCTTGGGCTTGCCAGCTTCTGCGGCTCCGTGAATTGGGAGAGGCCTCTACCCCAATCCATGGACTTGGGACATTCTAGCCTCTACAATTGCGTGAGCTGTTTCCTTGATATGAATCTCTCTCTATATATATATTTATACGCTTAGCTGGTTTTGCTTCTCTAGAGAACCCAGCCTAAGACAACATGGCAAATGTTTTGTTTTACATATATATATAAAATATGTGTGTGTGAGTTTGTTATCAGATAGATACTAAGTTAGGTGTTGGGGACAGAAAATAAAATAATGGTATTTGTTTTCTAAGATAATGATTCTCTACTATAACGGATGGGTGGATGGATGGATACATAAATATAGATAGATGATTGACAGATGATTTATTGATAGATACACAGATAGATAATAGATTGATAGATGCGTAGAGAGATAAATAGATGATGAATGGATGATAAATAGATAGATGGTAGATGATAGATTGATAGATAGATAAAAAAGAGGTAGATACTTGAATCCTGAGGAGTTTTTAAGGAGCACAGATGCTTGGGCCCTAGCTCAGACCTACTTGGTCATGGCAAGACTCAGGCATCTGAATAGTTTAAGAGCCTCTACAACCGTTCTTAACTTGTAACTAGAACTGAGAACTTTTCTTCTAAGAACCTCAGATACAAGAAGGAAGATAAGCAGCAAACCAAGGGTGTAACAGGCTCTCTGGAGTGTTGCTTAACCCCATATATCGGCCTGCCTGAGTTTCTGCTCTGGACGAGTCAAAGACACGACCGTCTCCCAGTATAGCAATTGCAATAACCGAGACATGCACAAAGTAGTCTGCAGGCTCTGGGGAGGGGCTGAGTTGGCCAGAAGCTCTGGTCAGTCCCCAGAGAGTTGCCAGGAGCCCTGAGCCAGACCGGGACTGGTATTTTGGATTCTGTTTTCCAGACTGCTCCTCCATCAGTGGTCCTATAGCAGTGTTTGCCACAGAGCGGGGACTGGTGACCAAGCAGGGTTGCTATGACCCAGGGTGGGAGACCTACAGCAAGTGGTGGTACTGCGGGGAACACTGGGGCTCCTGCCAACTCCTCGTTAACACCACAGAGTCAGATCAGGAGGTGGAGAGGGGCCAAATGTCCATCAGGGACAACCACGGACACCATCAGTTCACCATAACCATGAAGGAGCTCAGGGGTGACGACACCAACACTGATGTGAGATTGAGAAAAATGGAACTGACCTTGGATTCCAAGTTAAAGTGGCCATTGTCTCAGGAAGGAACTAGTCCTTCCTGCATGCTGAGGCCCTGGTGCTGACAGGGAATATAGAAATCAGAACCTTCCCTCTCTCTTCCCTAAGGGATGGAGCGGAGTCTTGAAACCTGCCTGAGACTGCACATCTGTGTGTGTGTCTGGGTGTGTGTGCATGCATGTGCATGGGTGTGCATATGTGCGGATATGGGCAGGTGTGGCCAGGTGTGGGCAGGTGTATGCACCTGTGTACATGTATCTGTGCATGTGTGTGTGTGCGTGTGAGAGAGAGAGAGGCAAAGGAGGGGGCAAAAGTCTGGAAAGACTAAGAGAAAGAAAGCCTTGAATTCCACATGTTTTCATCCATGATTCTCAGAGGGGCATTGCAGGGCAATCTCAGCTCAGCTTGGGGGAAGACTTAGAAAAGAAAGTCCTCCATTCCAGACCACTGGAAAATCACCTCTACCCTCAGAGGACCCCCAGCTGACCAGGGGGCCTCATCAGGTGTACAGGGAGGTGGGCAGGGGAGAAGGTGATAGAAACTCATGATCCTGATTGTCCAACTACTGGACGAACAGAGAGCAACCAAGAGTCTGTTGGTAACACTTCTCCCTGCCCCCACCTCCCTCTTGCTCTCCCTGTTCTGGCAACATGAACGTGAAGGAGGGAATGAGGGACTCTGAGCCCATTAGTGGGAGAAGGAAGGCACAGTTCCACCACAGCCCAGAGGCCTCCCACGCCCCCTCCTCTGGCTGCCTCAGAGCCCCTGCTAGGACTCTGGGCTCAGCCTCCTTGCCCCAGAAGCACCAGGGCCTCCCTCCAGAAGAAGCCAGAGAGAGACTCTGGTGGCAACCCCCACCCCACAGCTCTCAGTCCTGACTCCCTCAGTCCTGCCTCTGCTGTGGGCACCAGGAACACTACCCTCCCCAACATACACACCCACACAAGCGCAGGCTCTGTTATATATCCTTTATTTACAGACCCCTTTTATAAAGCAGAGAAAAGTCATTTTAAATTTAATATATGCAAATAAGATGTGCATGCATATGTGTGGTGGGGAGGTTTCTTGGTTTTAGAATGTTCTAGAAATTGAAAAAGAGAACAAAGGAGGAATGAATGTGTACAAGAGTGGAGGAGGGGTTGGCGCCGGTTGAATTGGGAGGTGGGAGCCTCCAAACAAGACACGCCTTCTCTGGGGCAGGAATGGTGAAACAAGGACACTGCTGGGAGGCAGGAAAGGACTCAAGGGGGAAGCAGAGGCTGATGAGACCTGGCCTAACTGCAGGACAGAGTTTGCCCATTTTATATTGGAATTCACTTCCTTCCTCTATATTGCACTTCGCCTCACTTTCTTTGTCGTTTTTCTCCTCACTCTGCAATTGTCCGTTCTATCTTTCTTTTCATCTCTTTTTCATTCCTCATTCTCTAGTAATCACAGTTTTCCAAACAGTTTGTAAAACCAGATGGGTGTGGTGGGTAGAGTATGCTGGGAAAGAAAGCAAGGAGCTGAGCCAGGAGCAGCTGTGAAAAAGGAGAAGCTCTAGAACATCTGAGCCCATGAGGAATCCCCAGCTGCAACTTACCCTGGATGAGAGGTGAACCTGTGGAGTTGGAGAGGTCAGCCCGCTCCACACAAGAGAGATGGGAAAGAGATTTCCAGCTTTAGTTTAACTGCACCCAGGCTAGGGCATTTAGATAAAAATTACCAGATTTAAGTAAGAGGGCACCACAAGCAGTGATCTGCCAGTAAACCAGCTCTTGGGGATGGGGGGAGGGAGCTCTGATTTGTATGTAGCCTTTGCTGATTCCCGTAGTGTAAATACTCTTTACCACAAATGATTTCAAGCTAACAACATGTGGTCACTGAATGCAGAGTTGGGAAGACATACTCATAATTGGCTTTTCTGGGCTGGTATAAGCAGCTTCAGTCACCACTGTATTGGGTGCCCATTTTATTAATTATGGTGATTCACAGTGTCCACTGAACTCTACAGTTTGTCCATCATCATCATCATCTAAGACTTTTTGAGTACCTCCCAGGTGTAAGGAGATGCACCTCTCTTAAATGTCTTTCTGAGTCTAGCATCATAGATTAATTACAGGGGCCTTAAGAGTCCTTAGAGATCACCCAGTCCACTTTCTCCTTTTATTAACGAGAAAACTACCTTTTGATTAATGTCACCAGCTAGTCTTCCTCCTTCAAATCTCTTCCTTTCCCATCAACCACCTGGGAAGAGTCTGGTCATCATATTGAGCATCATGAGGGAGCAAAACCACAAAAATTATTCTGCTAACATGAAGAACATCCTCTATTTTTATCCTAAACTTATTTCCCACAGAAAAATGTGCACTCATGAATTTTTTAAAATACATTCTGAAGGTCCAAACTTTGCAGGACGATTTTATTTTCTTGTTTGCCCCATACTTTGTTCCAGGAAGGATTTAAAGTGGATGTTTAGGATAGCATTTTAGACCTTTCATTATTTCCTTCCTTTTTTTTTTTAATTGTGCTTTAGATGAAAGTTTACAGCTCAAGTTAATTTCTCATACAAAAATTTATACACATGTTGTTATGTGACATTAGTTGCAACCCTACAATGTGACAGCACACTCCCCGCTGTCCACCCCAGGTTCCCAGTGTCCATTCAACCAGTTCCTGTCCCTTCCTGGCCTCTCATCCTGCCTCTGGACAGGAGCCACCCATTTGGTCTCCTGTATCTGACTGAACTAAGAAGCACACTCTTCACAAGTATTATTTTGTTTTATAGTGCAGTGTAATCTTTATCTGAAGATTGGGCTTCGGGAATGGTTTTAGTTATGAGTCAACATAGCGTCCAAGGGCCATGTCTTCAAAGGTTCCTCCAGTCTCAGTCAGACCATTAATTCTGGTCTTTTTACGTGAATTTGAGTTCTGCTCCACATTTTTCTCCTGCTCTATCTGGGACTCTCTGTTGTATTCCCTGTCAGGGTGGTCATTATTTCCTTCTAACAAACCTTTCCAACCCCTTTAAACTAAGTTCTGGCAAAATAGAACTATTGGCTAATTCCTGAACCTTACGATTTTTAGTATCTCTACACTTCTATATATTCCCATTTTCTGTTCTGCCAACTCGTTCATCCTTCGAGACTGACTTCCATGGAGCCTCGGTGAAGATTTCCATCTTTCCAGGAGCAGAATTAGAGACCCCTGTTGTGCTCTCTCAAGATGTGTATGCATCTCTACCACAGCAAGTTCCACACTGCATCGTCGTTACTTGTCTGCCTCAGTCAACCATGAGCCCAAGTGCAAATGTCACCTGCAAACGTTACTCTTAATTACAGCTCCCAGAACAGTCCTGGCACATACTTGGTGCTCAGTCAATGTTTGTAGGACTTGCAGATCGCTGTTTGAATGTGTAAAAGTATATATAGATGGATGAATGGATGTAGCCTTCCCATTTCTGCTGACACTCCACCTCTGGTTTAAACCTAGGACTGACCCTTCTACCTACTATCCTTCACCCCTGAAATACCAGATTCCTGAAGCCCCAACCCCACTCACCTGGGAGGCAGAGAAGGAGCAGTGCTAGGGGCAGCCACATGGTCTGTCTCCCTGGTGCTGTCCCCAGCAAATTCAGGTCTCAGTTGGAATCCAGGTATTTGTAACAGAAACTAGAGTCATCTACCTTCTATTTGTTTGAAGTTCTTTTGTGTTTTTCTCTCATCTGCTTCCTTTTTCACTTCTCAGCAACTTCCTAATTTTAAGAAAAAAAAAGAAGAGAAGTAAAAGACACTTCAGAGAATGAACTAAAAGCAGTGAGGGAAATCTGCTGATTTTTTTCCCTCATTTAAAGACAATACAATGTTTAGGTCACACTCTGATCTTCCATGAAAGTCCGTCACAATATATGAAACATCCAACAGAGGAGGCTGCTTGTCCCCTGCCTCATGCACTCTTCTTCCTGCCTGGCACCTCTTCCTTGATCTACTCAGTTGCCCCTTCTCTCTGGCTGCCTACATTAGATCATAACATTTATTTGCAGAACTGGAGTGAGGACTCCTCATGTTTCTCTCTCAACCATTTTCTCTGTACAGATGACCCCATACCTTCCTCTGACTTAATGTCCTTCCTTAGGCTCCAGACCTAACACTCCTGTGGGGAAGCTCTACCTGATTGTACACCATTAACTGAGTTAAGTAAAGAGTCATCATTAAGAGCATAGATTCTGGAGTCACACAAATTCAAATATCATTCCCATCATTTACTAGCCGTGTGCCCTTGGGCATGTTGCTAAATCACTCTCATCCTCAGTTTCCTCATCTGTCAAATGAAATAACAGTAATAATTCTTTTGTCATAGAGTTGCCATAGGAAATAAATAAGTCAATGCAAGTAAAGTGCTTGGCACAGTGCCTGGAACATAGTAGCTGCTCAGTAAATATCTTTAGAATAATCCTGGGCCATTGAAGTAGCTTTCCATCTCAGCCAGCTATACTTTCCCTCCAATCCAATTTACACATCAAAAACACATTCTTCTCTAAGATGCAGGTGTCAGAAAATAATAATTCCAGTGATAGCCCCCAACAGGTGCTTCTACTTCTTCTCTTTCCCAAGATGGATGTCCATACTAACCTTCACTGTTTTTCAGAACTCTCTGCTGATCATCTGGCATTTCTAACCTTTGCTATAAAAGCATAACTTCTTATCTCCTCTCTTTTACCATATCTGATAAAATATGGCATACAGGATTGAGTCCTGGATGGGACAGCAAAACACATGGGTCCTAGTCCTATGTATATTACTCGCCACTCACCTGGGGGACCCAGAATGAGCAGAAGTGATGATACGAGCAGCTCATGCCTCACTGTGCCATTTCTTCAGTATAGACAACAGCTGGAGGGTTCAGTTCTACGCAACAAAAGGATCGAACAAATCTCCAGCTCCTTCAGTTCTACTTTTATGTTGTCTCCTTTTGCTTTTTTTCCTAATCCAATCTCTGGAGTTGTTTATAAAATAAATAAAATGCAAGTGAACAAAGGTAAGAACGGATGGTTGAAAATGAATATGCCCAATGTTGTCGAATTTCATTATAATGATCCAAGAAAGTCCAAATTCCAGGCAATATGGCAGACTGAGCTAACACAGAAAGACTCCCCTCTAGCTCCAAACATAGAAGTTCTACATAAAATGCAACATGTCTTAATGCATAATTGAAAACAAAATCAAGAAAGGGAAATACCCAGATGCCAGACAAGTAAAGGGAACTGAAAGCCAGAACCGTGAACAGGATCTGATGCCAAACGACTAATGGGGACTATTAAAAATGGATATGGGTTTTAGGGGCTGGAGGAGGGGATCTGGGGTTTAAACAGCCACTTGGGTACAGGAGCCAATGCCTCAGGTCCATACCAGGTGGGGAGCTGTAGGAGAACTGTCTGTATAGAGCTGGGTCCATGGAGGGTAATCACATCCATGAAGCCAGGGACAGAAAACTCTATCACCTGGCTCAGGGAGGCATCAAGGCATCTTGGCCACCTAGAGCCATAAGGAATTGAAAAGTCTGTCATGAGAATTGGCACTTTCAGCTGCACTGCATAGAGATGTGAGACTCAAACTCATAGCTTCCATGGTATGGAGGTCTCAGGTAAAGCAATCAATATAAAAGCAGGTTGACAAATGATGAGGCTTGTAGGATCTTGGAAGAGTTGAACACAAAACCGCAACCACACTTACAGCCCACCGCTTGTTTTTGTAAGGCCCGTGAGCCAAGGGTCGTCAAAAACAAGGGAAACCCTCAATAAGATGGATTGACAGAACAGCCACAGCAATGGACTCAAACTAGGGCTTCAAACCTGTTCAGTCTGGTTCAAACCTCTGCTGAGAACTTGCATTTCTAACAAGTTCCCAGGCAATACTAATACTGCTGATTAGGGACCAGTTCTGAGAACCACTAGTTGAGCCATGGTTCTCAAAATGTGTTATCCATAAGAATCACCTGGGGATCTTGTTAAAATGTAGATTCTGATTCAGTATATCTGGGATGGAAATGCAAACCAAAACGAACTGATTTGAATCCCTGGCTTAAATATATCAATGATCATGAAGATGGCTCAGGACTTGGCAGCATTTCTTTCTGTTCTACATTAGGTCGCCAGGAGCCAGAGAAAACCCCACGGCAGCTAACAACAGCGACACGAGCTAAGGATGAGTTTTACATTTATAAATGGTTGAAAAAAATCAAAAGAAAAATAATATTTCATGGCACATGAAAACTATATGAAAGTAAAATTTTCAGTACATAAATAAGTTTCATTGGAACACAGCCACAATCATTCCCTTAAATATTGTCTGTGCCCGCTTTTGTGCTGCAACCACGGAGTTGAGAAATTATGACAGAGATCATATGACTCACAAAGTCAAAAATGTTTACTATCTGACCCTTTGTAGAAAAAGTGTGCCAGCCCCTGGATGAGATACCCAAGAGAATAAGTGAAGAGGCCAAGAGCTGAGTTGCCAGGCTCTGCAGCCTTTACAGATTAAGGGGAGGAGGGACAGTTAAGTATGGAGTGCCTAGTGAAGCAGGAGGAGCACAGGTGGGCCAATGGTTAAGCACTCATTACTTCCTCAATACCCACTGTGACCACCTAAGTAACACTGACTTTAATTATAGTGGCCAGTATGAAGCTATCCACCACCCATCCGTAAGCTTGCACTTTGCTATGATGCTGAAAGCTATGCCTCCAGTATTTCAAATACCAGCAGGGTCACCCGTGGTGGACAGGTCTACTTCTGAATATTAACCTATGAAAACCCTATGGATCACAGAATATTTTCTGATATCGTGCTGAGAAGTGAGCCAGACATACCAACAGTCATGAAGATGGCAACGTTTCCTTCTATTATACATAAGGTCACCATGTGTTGGAGTCAGCTTGATGGCAGCTAACAACAATAACATATAGAGCCATTGTCTTAGTCATCTAGTGCTGCTATAACAGAAATAGCACAAGTGGGTGGCTTTAACAAACAGACTTATATTCTCTCACAGTCTAGTAGGCTAAAAGTCCTAATTCAGGGAGCCAGCTCCAGGGAAAGGCTTTCTTTCTCTGTCAGCTTTGGAGGAAGGTCCTTGTCATCAATCTTCCCCTTGTGTAGGAGCTTCTCAGTGCAGGGACTCCGGATCCAAGGGATACGTTCTGCTCCCGGCACTATTTTCTTGGTGGTATGAGGTCTGCCTATCTCTCTGCTGGCTTCTCTCTTTTATATCTCAAAAGAGATTGACTCAAGATAACAACCTAATCTCGTAGATTGAGTTCTGTCTCATTAACATAACTGCCTCTAATCTTGCCTCATTAACATCATAGAGGTTAGGATTTACAACACTAGGATAATCACAGCAGATGACAAAATGGTAGACAATCACACAATACTGGGAATCATGTCCTAGCCAAGTTGACACACATTTTGGGGGGACACAATTCAATCCATAACAGCTATAGAGAAGGTCTATCAAGTGAGAAAGATGCTAAAATTAGACCTTCAAACCAGTGAAATATCTGTTTCAAAGACACTTTTCTACTTTCTCTCACTGCCAATCGAAGGCCACAGAGCAACTGGGGCCACACCAGTTTCCAGGAGAACCACTTTGCAAACCACTCACCAGATAATGCCCTCCATTAGAAAAGCACTTCTCTGTCTGTTATCTAATTTTCTTCTCCCAATAACCCAGTGAATCATCTGGTCAGCACAGACAGGCTCCAGGTTAGAATGGCTTCTCAAAAATCATCACTTTCAAGCTTTTTATCTTTCCTAGAAATTTGTTTTGTAACTGCTTTCCATTTGATATCTATTTTCAGGTCATTTTCAATAAATTCTCCAGTGAATAGCTCTTCTAGTTCTTCACTTTGGCCAAGAATGCTTTCTCTTGGTGCACAACTCCCTTCAAGGCCAATGGAGTGAAGTTTGTCAAAAGCAGATCAATTTTAATGTATATTTTTATATCCCACTTGTTTGTCAAGGAATTATCAGGAGGCTGAGCTTTTCAATTTTTGTAGCAAGGAGGTAACGTAGAAATACCTATGGGGGTATAGTGTGCCTCATTCAGCAACAACAACTCAACTGACTTTTACAGAATATCTAGAGTGGGGAAATACAAAGCAAATGAGGCAGTCCTTAGCTGACTTAGGCTGGGTTCTCTAGAGAAGCAAAACCAGTAAAGCATATAAAGATAACTAGAGAGATTTATATCAAGGAAATGACTCACGTGATTTTAGAGGCTGGAACATCTCAAGTCCGTGGATCAGGATAGAGGCTTCTCCTGATTCACGTAGCTGCAGGGACTGGCGAACCCAAGATCAGCAGAGGGGAGAGCAGGGCTCTTGCTCACAGGCTGTGAAGACTGACAAATCCCAAGATAAGCTGCTAGCTCAAGTCCCAAGAACCAGAGGTCAGACCAACAGGAGGCAGCTTTAGGATCCAGTACAGGCAAAAGCCAGAACATCTACTTATATTCGGATGCAGGCCACATGCCCAAGGAAATTCCCTTTCAACTAATTGGCTACTCACAACAGATCCCATCATGAGGGTGATCACATATAAACACGGAGAACCATGGCCCAGCCAAGTTAACACACAATCTTAACCATCACACCAGCCCCAGCAGAACTTGCAATCCCACCAGAAACCAGTTGCCGTGGAGTGAATTCCTACTGTCCGCGACACCAATGGCAGCTCTCCTTACCAACTGGGAAAGCCAGCTTTGGATGGTTCACTCCTTGGTAAGACGTCTGAGTCTGGCAGTGCAGGGGTGGTGATAATTGGCACCATTGTTATTTCTAAGTAAATAAAGCTGACGAAGTAAGTGTCTTCTCTCCTGACCTCCTCACACAACCTACGTGTCTCCTTCCAGTTCTACATGGAAGAGGAGCAAGCTGGCTTAGTGCCTCCACTGCAGCTCTTGAGAAGCACAGGGTCACCCACTAGCAAAGGAAGGCAAGAGCCATGAGGGACAGCACCATATGCAGCATGGGGCCACCTGAGATGGAATTTACGGGAAATTGTTCTCTGGGAACTATTCAAAGTGCCTCAGGTAGTCATTCTAATCTAATCCTCTCAACATTATGAATTGGGTGCCATTATTAACCTATTTAACAGAGGCAGGAACAAGTTCAGAGAAGTCCTTGTCTCAGGGTCCCACAGCTGAGGGGCAGAGCTGTGGTTTGAACATGGCCCTGTCAGGATCTAACCCTCACAGTACACTGCCCTCTCTGCAGCTCCTCTCCCACCTTCTTATGCCACGAGAGGTGAGTAACACCCAGGATGGTCACCATAAGACGTGTGTTCACCATACACTTCAGGGACCCAAGTTAGCCAAGAAAATGGGTAATGAGGCTAGCAATAGCACACATACACAGCAGACCCGTACAAAACACACACAAACAAGATACACACAACATACACAGACAGAAAACACATACAAACACCACACACACATACAACAGACACATAAAACACACACACACAAGACACAGAGACAGAAAACACATACAGACACAACACACATACAACAGACATACACAAAACACACAGATACAAACATAACACACAGAGAGACAGAAAACACAAACACCACACACACATACAGCAGATACACAAAGCACATACAAACACAGATACACACATAACACCCACAGACAGAAAACACATACAAACACAACACACACATATACAACAGACACACACAAGCGCAAATACACACACAACACATGCATGGACATAAAACACAAACAGCACAAAAAGATACAACAGACTCCTAAAACACACACAAACACAGGTCCACACACAACATATACACAGCACACTCTCAGAGAGAAACACAAGCATAGACACCCATGCAAACACTTACAACACACATACACACACGCAGCAGGAGAGGCTTCTTACCTGGGTCCACCGTGATCTCCTTCAGTCCCCCAGATCCTTCAGGTTCCTTTCTATGGCGCACCAGTAGGTACCGGCATCATCTTCCTGCAGATTCTCCATGGTGACAGTGAAGGCGCGACAACTGTGATCGTCTTTAATGGAGACCTGGTCTCTCTTCTCTTCTTCTTCAGCTCCTCTGGTCTTAATGACGTAGGAACAGGAGTTCCAAGCAGCTCCCCAGCACCAGTATTTCACATAAATGACTCCCAGCCCAGCCCATAGCAGCACTTCACTGACAGCAACTGTCTCCTCAGGCACTCTCCTGGCCAGGGCCTCTCGCTGAGAAATTGTAAAACAAATGCCCGTGTGTCTTCTCAGCCCTCATA